GAGGTGGCATTCGTGAGCGTTTTCGGGAATGTCTCATGCCTTTCCCAGTCCACACGATACAAGGTTGCCCAGGAAGGCAACAAGAAACTTCTCCGTGTTCTTTGGAGGAATGTCCCAGTATGTAAGCTTGGTGTTTCAAAAACACTATAGTCTATATAACTTTGCATTATTAGTGTGTGTGTGTGTGTGTTCAAGAGATCTCTCTGCCCAATATATTGTTTTGGGACAACAGTCAGCATGGAAGTCTAAGGCAGGCAGCTTTGAAGGAAGAAAACCCAAGTGTAGAGCTGTGTCTGACTGGCACACTTGAATATACTCATGTAATCAACATTTCCCAGGGTACTGCCATTTAAGGCCACCTAGAGTCCAGTGGAAATGTGGTATAATATTTATCCATGCACTGGAAATGTTACAAGTTGCAAGCCCATACATCTAAAGCTCGGGTGTCAAACATGTGGTATCACGTTGCCATCACGTGATGTATTGCGACGTATTTCCCTTCGCAGAGCTGGGGGGGGTGGGTATGGCCGGCATGTGATGCATCTGGCCCATGGGCGGCCAGTTTGACACCCCTGATCTAGAGAGCATCAGGTTGGAAAGGCTGCCATATATTGTTTACATATTGAGATATATATCCTTACAACAGGTAGACGCATTGATGTCATAAAATTATTCTTGACTGGCAGCTATGCAAATGCATGGTCTTTAACAGTTTTTAACCTTACCTGCAGGATTGCAAAGTTCCTAAGAAACCCAGGATAAGCCCTATTTGGAATTGCTGCCCACAGCATGCCAAGCTAAAAGATTTAGGTTGATACAGAGCTTGCTCTGTCTCAAAACAAGGTTGACTGCAAGACAAGTCCTACTTTAGAGAGAATATTTCTGTGCTTGATGTTGACCACTTCCTGGTCAACAGAGCATTGTGTGGGCCCAAATACCCAATTAAGTTGAGATGGCAAGCTTATTTCTTCTGCTCAGTCTTAATTTACATATCTCAACCGTGACCCGTCAAAACCGCGGTCCACTAAAGCGCGCCCGATTAAAGCGCGTACCTGACATCATCAGCAGCGCGACAAATAAAATTAAAAATAAATTAAATTAAAATTAAATTAAAGCAAGCCGATTCACATAAAGGTAAGGGTTAGGTTTAGGGTTAGGGTTAGGTTAAGGGTTAGGGTTAGAGTTACGTTAAGCGTTAGGGTTAGGTTTAGGGTTAGGTTAAGGGTTAGTGTTAGGTTTAGCGTTAGGTTAAGGGTTAGGTTTAGGGTTAGGGTTAGGTTTGGGGGGGTTAGGTTTAGGGTTAGGTTTGGGGGGGTTAGGTTTAGATTTTCGCGTTAATTTTAAGTTTACCGCTCACAGCGTGCTGTTTTCGTCGCGCTGTGATGACGTCACGTACGCACTTTCGTCGAGCGCGCTTTATTCTACCACAGTTTTGTGGTGGAACCATCTCAACAATGTTTCACAAAATCATGAACACGAAGAGCAGCTCCAAAATTTCCCAGTAAAGTAGATTTTTTTACAATAAATGCCTTGTTTCTTGAATAGCTAGATTAGCCATTCCGAATGAGGCTGTTACTTCTGCACAAATAGTGCACATTTGTACTATGTTTCAAGTGTGCAATACATTTTAGTTATGAAAGAAAGAAAATTGGCTCCAAACTTATTTTGGGCCAGCTCTAACATCACATCTAAGTAAAAAGCAATAACTACAAAGCTATATATCTCCAATCATCGGAAATCAGTCTGTTAAAAGATTGCATTTCAACTAGTGAAGTACTGGAATACAGTGATATCAGGACGCCAATGCTGAAGTAGTTTACAAAGTGCTTTAAAGCCATACAGTGAGAAACAGTAAGCATTTTAATTTGTTGGGTTGATTGGCACTTATAAACTGTTTGTTATCTGATGTCTTTGCTCTGTGTTTCAGTCACTACAACTGGCCTCCTCACACCAACGTCTCCTGAAATGGAAGGAGAAAGAGCTGCCAATAATCTAATAACTATCACTGGGATATCATTATGCTTATCAATTATCTTTGCAACCATCCTTATCACCTTATGGCGAAAGCTTTGCAGAACCCCAAAGTGCAGCAGTCCAGTTAACTGTGACTCCTCTCAATCATCTGGCTTCCGAAAGAATTCTGATGAAGACGATATCTGTCCAGACAGAGGTCAACTAGAAAGCTTTTCTGAGGGAGAAACTTCTTGTTTTTCCCCAGGAGAAGCTTCTGACATAGCCTTGAATTTCAGGAGAAGTCTTCATTCGGTCCCCGAAAATGGAGGAGGATTAATTCATGAGAATTTGCAGTCCAGCGCTCAAAAAATCATCCCTCCCATTTACAGCTATCGCCTTGCCCAGAAGCAGTTGAAAGAAATGAAGAAAAAGGGACTTACGGAAACAACCAAACTTTATCACGTGGCTCAGAACTCTCTCATGGACACAGTGAAAACAGAAAACCAGGAGGTAGCTGGGACAAGTAAGTTTAGAATCAAGTCTCCATTTCCAGAACAGCCACCCGATTACCTGAAGTTGTCAGGGGACAGGCCCTGTTCTAGAATGGATAGTGCATTTTTGCAGCCCGATTCCGTGTGGAGCCCCCATCATTCCTCAATGAGGAGAAGCCATCCCAGATATTTTGATCACAAAGGAGAGCCAACAGAAAGAGGATACCCCAAAAGTTCACAGTTCAGAAGAACAGCAAGTTTTCATGAAGCTAGAAAAACAAAGCCATTTCGGAAAAGAAGCATGTCCACCCTGACGCCAAGCCAGCCTTCGTTCAACCACTGCAGAGCCAAAGTGTGGGATCATGGTATGGAAAAACAACATTGTGTTACATCTAAAAATATAGCACAGAACACTACGGAACTTGAACTGTATCACAGCATTCCGTTGACCACAGAGTCATTGAGCTGGGGGGGACATATTGCTTACAAACAGAAGCTTCCCGAGAAGAAACCAGATCTGGTTCACAATCGTCCACTGGGATCTTTTGTATCTTGCATTGATAACTCAGAGTATAAGAGAACAAGAAGTGGACGTTTTTTAAACCCTGCTAGTACTTGGAGAAAAGAATCTACTTTCCTAACTCTCAAGGATGATCACCAGAAAGCAGAGACCCTGAGTCCCTCGCAGTATAGAAAGAGCAAATGCCAAAGCTTTCCATCTGATACTGGATGCCACTTCTATGACAACACTTCCTTTGCTCTGGTTGACTCAGAACAACAAATGTATGACCTGCCTGGATATTTTGAGTTAAACGAAGGTGAAATAAGTACTTTGACTGCTGAAAATTTGGTGATCTGAATTTCTTGTGGGGGAAAAAGGGAAGCTGCACCATTAGCAACTGCAAGAGCTCTTAAACTTTCAAAGTGTACTTTAACAGAAAACTCCTTAAGATGGGAAGGAGACCTCATTATCATTCCATTGAAGCAGGCCAAAACTGGGAAAAGTAAATGATACCCTAACACAAAAATAATGACTAAATATGTACTTGTGCAGAGTCTCTCTCTAAACTGTCTCAGAAATAGACCCTTTAAGGCCAAGGTTAGCCTGTATGCTTACATACACAGTTTACAGTATTGGACAATGGTATTGGAGCATATAATACATTTTAAATTGGTTACCCTTACTATCCTCAGAATTCCTCATCAGTGGCTGCTAAGTGACTGTGAAAATGTCTATGACATTCTACACCGTGGCATTCGGTGGCCTATAAAATCAGACTTGGAGGTCTGCATGTGGTATTAGTTAAGAAGTTAGTGTGGTTAGAGGCACAGCAGGAATATAGCCGGTCTATTCATTTCTATTGGACAAGCACTGGATGCTTCTTTAACCACTGTTTGCATCACAGCAACTCCAATTACAAACTTGCCAAGCCTGTTAGATATACTCAGTCGCAAAGCAATATTCTGCTTCAGAAGAATCCACCTTAAAAAAGATTATTCCCCCCTCAAGGAAACGTATCCTTTGCAAACTTCAATAAATTTCAATTGAAGAAACTGTTTAAAATTAAGCAGTTTGGGCTTGGTTTCTCTCACTGGCATATCATTATAGAAAGTGTTTGTTTCAGAAAATGTAAGTGAAAAAATGTAATGTGAAACAAGAAATGTTATTAGTGTTTTGTAATGGACAAATTCTAGACATTGATAAACAATAAACTAATGTTTATTTTTATGCTGTTTAAAAGACAATGATATAATTGTGATTACGTCTTTTTGCAATTGTTGCTGGTTTAATTGCCTTAAATATGGCTGATGTAAATGTACTAGATAATTTCTCACACTTTAGGAATTAATATAATTGTTCACATTTTACCAGAAGGCTGAGAGAACATCCATCCCAAAGCTACACAGCCCATCATGGCGTTGTAATATTTCAAACATTATAAATTGAAACGTGACAGTTTTAAACACATGGTGCTTATTCAGAATAATTTGAAAAAGCCTCCTATGAAAATGCACATCTATCTTTAAGCTTAATTAGGCAGCAGTCAAGATTTTCACTTTTCTTTCCTCTTTTTCAATTTAAGAAAGTTTTGAAAATACAAATTTAGAAAGGAAAAGGAGATGCCAGGTAAACCTGCATTTCCTGATGTAACATTCTTTTGATCTGTTATAGCAACTAGAAATTGCTTCCTTTCCTTAGAAGGGCTCTGATGGGATTCACACAAAACCAATTTCATTCTCTCTTTATGTACCATAAAACCTTTTCTTCCCAATGACTTACAACATTTTCTTTCTCTGCGTTTCCATGAAAGGTGGTTATTTTTTGGAAGAGAGGGAACAAAATGAATTCCAAAAACAAATTTAAAAATACCAGTTTATGCAAAGTGGATATTCAACAACTGAATATTTTTGTAAAGGAAAAGTAAATAATAAGCAGGATTGTCCTTTGTGCCTTCAATAAAGTAGAGCCCCCCCCCCCCCCGGCCCATTTTTGAGGGCAGGTTCTATATATACGAAAAGCCATCTTTTTAATTGCCAGCTGATGTACAGGTATAATACAATGATTGACAAACCACAGCAAAATCTAATTTAGCTCCTACTGTTAAGATTTTTTTTCAGTGTGCTGGGTCTCAAGCCAAGGTCCACATATACAGTAATTTTGACATGCCTGCTTCTCTTTCTCAAACGTGCATGGAAAAAAAAACCCTTCAATTGATTTCACCATTTCCACTCTCTCCATCCAGGAAGGACTGGAACCTGATTTTCATAGCTGTATATTTCAGGGAATACCACAGGCCTCGCCAGGTTGACCAAACCACTCCATTATCAAAGGGACTGGAGTATGTCCCTTTCTTGTAATATCGTCCATTAAGATTTGCTGCATGGCACCTTGTGGAAATGTCAGAGGAAAAAAAAACACAAAAAAGATGTTAATGAAAGGTCAGGGAATGGTTCAAATGCCAATTAGTAGAAAAAATGATATAAATCTTAATTATCACCAGATATTACATTATGGTGTTAGAATTGTCTTTCAACCAGGTGACCTTTAGCTTCACTGGAGCAGAACCAGGGATTGAGGGAGGGGAATGTTCCAACCCAGCTGAAGGACACCAGATCAAGGAAGCAGCATATACATTTTGTTTAATAGGAAAAATTAGAGTTTAACTAGTTGCTCTTAAATAAAATTGATCATTTTCTTTCATAAAACCACATGAACTGCTTTACACTGCCACCTGGCCTATTGCCTGATACATATTCTCTTGAATTCATGCTATTTCCATTTGGGGCCCTTCAATAAATGGTAATCTTTTAAATGGAAGGTAGATGGGAAGAAAAGATGGATGAAGGGTTGGAGGATTGGAAAAGGAACATATAAAATGGTCCTTAGTTTGTTGTAAGCATTTCTGAATTTTCAGTATTTCTATATAGATATGACTTAAAAATGTGATCTGCTCTTCCGACAACATTAAAACTAGAAAGGCAGAGAACCCATTTAAACTAAATGAGTCAGAAACATTGGGAAGTCTTGCCTGATTTAAAGAATAGAATTCTGGCTATTCACTATCAAAGTCTGATCTTCACAACATATGGAGGTATGTGGAAGGATGTCAAACAAAGGAGATTTCTGAGGCTATCTAAAATGTAGTTGTTGGTATCCACCAGATTGGAAAAGCTTACAAAACTATTTCCAAAGAGTTTGGACTCTACCAATCAATTGCCAAGCAGACTGTGTAGAAATGGAAGCAATTCATCACCACAGTTACCCTTCCCAGGAGTGGTTGACCAATCAAGATCATAACCAAGAGGAAGGTATGTAACACTCCAGAAAATCTAAAAGATCCTAGGGTAATGTCTAAGGAAATAAAATCCTCTCTTGCATTGGTAAACGAGCCACCATCAGGAAAACACTGAAGAACAATGGTATATTTCAGTGGTGGGATTCATTTTTTTTTACTATCAGTTCTGTGGGGGTGGCTTGATGGGGGTGGTGTGGTGTGGCTTGGTGGGCATCGCTTAGTAGGCGTGGCAGGGGAAGGATACTGTAAAATCCCCATTTCCTCCTGATCAGCTGGGACTCGGGAGGCAGAAAATAGATAGGGGCGGGGCCAGTCAGA